TGCCAACCCTACTCATCATCCATAATGAAAGGAAAGTAATTGTTTAGAAAGTCACGGATATGGAAAAAATCACCGTTTTAAGGTGGTGGCCTAACTTTTTGATAGAGTTTTCAAAGCAATTTTAACATGGCTGCCGAAAATACAAATGAGGTGAATGCCAGACCATTGATCATAAAAGTTGTTGCCCTAGAAAACTCGAAATGCAGAAGTTAGGCCATTGTGTCCAAATGAGCTAGAAACCGTATCAGGTGAATGTCAGACGAGTTATGGTCCATAATAATGGTGGCCTAAAGAACTTAACATAGAAAAGTTGGGGCACTGTGTCAAAATTGACCACAAAACATATTAGGTGCATGACAGACCATTTCTGGACCATAAAACTTGATGGCCTAGAAAACTCACTTGAAAAAGTTAGGCCACCAAGTGTTAAATGGCTTGACCTGATATGATTTATAGGCTATTTTCACAGGATGACCTAATTTTTGCAAGGTAATTTTTCTAGGCCGCCATTTATTTTTCAGGCCACCATTGTTTCTGCCCATCAGCCTTTTTTTTGAAAAAGAGTCAACGTGAGCTTTTTAAAAAATGAGCCTCGATGAGATTTTTTCAAAATCAATATTTTTGTCAAATGAGCCTATATGGAATCGAAAAATCAAAAGCTCAATTTTTCCAATTTTTCAAGAAAAGTCGGTCACATTTTTGCTCTATTAGAGTTGTCCTAAACGCTAATCTTCTTAATTCATTGATAAACCGATTCTAACTTTCTATATATTGATAACTCTCCAAAATTATAATCATTTTTGTTTCAAAATGGGAAAATTAATGTTTCCCTTTCTTTGTTTACTATCTTTCACTTCTATTGCATTCGCGCTAGGTAACTTTCCTAACTAAAAAAGTTTAGATAAAACTTTTTAGATTGCACTCAAATTCCGCCTTCTGAAATCTTCGATTCCAATACAGTTAACATACCCAAGAAAGATGGTTCGTTGCAAACGCTTCCAGGAAATTTCAACTGCGTTTATAATGTAAATTTGCATTATTTTCGAAATTTTTGAACGAAAAATTTCAGATCTCCACTCCCACACCAACGTCTTCTCATGGTCTTTATGCAATTGTGACAATCACAAATGGTTTGCAAGGTGTAAATGATTATATTCTAGTCACGAAAATCACGGGAAGCAAACGAAAAATTGTTAGGTTTGTATGTTTATTTCTATTCCGGAAAAAATCAAGTATGTCAGTGTGTGGGTTTTGAAATCTGAAGGAAAAATTTTTCGGGGAAAGTGAGCGGAGCTTAAATTATAAATAAAATATTTACAGCGCTGGAAATAAGGTTGAAACATACAAAGTGATCCCAGGCTCTCAGTTAAGTGTTCAAGTGATCACAAAAAGTGTTGTAATGAATTCTCAATTCGCGATTTCTGTACAATATCATAGTGCGGTAATTGGACCGAGTGTTCAAATGAAAACAGGATCGGAAATGAATTTTTTGGATGTCAAAACCATCAACCAAGGCCCATTCACTTCTCTGACTTACGTTTCAAAGGAGCATGTGAGAAATTTAAAACTTGGAAATTTTAAATTTTAAAATTTTCAGATTGTTCTCACTTTGGCCACTGAGGCATTGGATATTTCTATTTTAGACAATTGCTATTTCATCGATGGCACATTTGATAATCAGCGAAAAATTTACGAGGTCGACGATTTCTTTTACAACGATGACGACGGTTTTACAACCATTTCCCATCATTTAACAGTTGTCAGTTTTCAAGAAAGCCTGATTCAAATAGTTCTAAATCCAGTTCCTGAAGTTAAACAGGTGGGATTATTGTAATATTTAATTCGAAAAAAAAAATTCAGTTCTCCAATTTCTACTCCATGCCTATCGTCAAAACCGTAAGCTCATTCGAAACAGTGTTTAATGAAGCAATTCAACTGGTAAATTTTGATTCTGTTGGGATTGTCATGGACGGTTTTCATATTATTACGGTAATATTTTAAGGAGCGGGTGTTTTTTGTTAATGTCATTTTCAGAAGCCCTGCAACGCAAAAGTGGTCGCTGGACCACCCAACAATTCATCGAAAACTATTCTAGACCTTTCTACAAATCCATCAAAGGCTCAAACATTTAATGTCAAGGATTTAACAGTGATTACAAACGGATGTTTTTTCCATTTCACTGCGAGAGCTCCTAATTGAGTCTGCTTTTTTGATATTGTGTGTGTGTTTTTGAAAAATATACAATTTATACAATGATATACAGAAATAATTCAAACTGGCACACATACAATTTAGGTACAAGTTCTGAACTTCAAAAATAATGGAAGAAATCAAAAGATGGCATAATCTCAGATTTTCTAATTTTTTGAGAAAACTGGTCACATTTTTGTTCCTTTAGAGTTGTCATAAAATCTAACCAGTCGGTTTGAGCCCCCTGCCGGGGGCGCAACCTCCTGGGTTTTGTTTACTTTATCTTACATTTGAATTCCTAATTTCAGAAATTCCCACTTTCCGTGTGTCCGAAATTTCCGAGTTTCTTTATTTTCAAAAGTTATATTCTCCCGATATCGGAATTTTTGAATACCGTACAATAGATGCCCACATGTAGAATCTCTTGTTTTTTTCTAGAATGTTCCTGGATTTTCTGATTACTGATTGTTAGGGTTTCTGAAATTCAGATATTTAAAAAACCCACACACAGCCCTACTTCTAAGCCTTTGGTTTCAGATCACCTTGAAAAAATAGGGAAGTGATTACAATACCTGTATACTTATAGAGAGCATAATTTTGAAATTTTCGATTCTCAACACTGTAGCTTCCCTGTTAGCTAGAATTCCCAGTACACCATAGACATGAAGCGCTCGGCAGTCCATGACTACATACCACACACCACTATAGGAGTCCCACGTCCCTTTGAGTTATACAAGTTAATGTCCGAGACGGACACACAGACACACACACACACAGAAAAGTTTCCTTAGTAAAAAGTAGATCTTCTTAATGCATTGATAACCCGATTTTAACTTTCTATAAATTGATAACTCTCCAAAATTATCATCATTATTTTTTTCAACAAAAACATGAAAAACTTCATATTTCTTTTTTTCTGCTTATTTATTGTCAACTCCGCTGCAACTGCACTAGGTAATTTTCTGAAAAAAAAAACTTGAAATTAAAAAAAACTTTTTTAGAATGCACTCAAATTCCGCCTTCAGAAATTTACGATTCCAATACAGTTAATATTACCAAAAAAGATGGATCACTGCAATCTCTTCCGGGAAATTTCAACTGTGTTTATAATGTGACTTTTATTAATTTTTACATTTTTATTTCGAATTTTTCAGATCTCTACTCCTATTCCAGCGTCTCATAGTCTTTATGCAATTGTGACAGTTACAAATGGATTAAAAGGTGTAAATGATTATATTCTGGTCACAAAAATCACAGGAAGCGAACGAAAAATTGTTAGGTTCGTGACTCTGAGCACTTTAAGCCATATAAGCCTAGGGACATTCTATTTTCCACGGAAAGAAAGTAAAAAATACATTTTACAGCGCTGGAAATAAGGTTGAAACATACAAAGTGATCCCAGGCTCTCAGTTAAGTGTTCAAGTGATCACAAAAAGTGGTGTAATGAAATCTCAATTCGCGATTTCTGTACAATATCATAGTGCAGTAATTGGACCGAGTGTTCAAATGAAAACAGGATCGGAAATGAATTTTTTGGATGTCAAAACCATCAATCAAGGCCCATTCACTTCTCTGACTTACGTTTCAAAGGAGCATATGAGAAATCCGGAAATTAAAAATGAAAATTTTTACATTCTCAGATTGTTCTTACTTTGGCCACTGAGATCTATGAAGTAGATGATTTCTTTTACGACAATGGTAGCAAATTTACTACCATTTCCCATCATTTGACAGTTGTCAGTTTTCAAGAAAGCCTGATTCAAGTTTTAAATCCAATTACGGAAGTTCAACCGGTAGGATTACTGTAACATTTAATTCAGAAAGAAAATAATAAAATTTTCAGTTTATCAATTTCCTCTCCGTGCCTATGGTGAAAACCGAAACTCCATTCGATACAGGTTTCAATGAAGCTATTCAACTTGTAAATTTTGACTCTGCCGGAATTGTCATGGATCGTTTTCAAATTGTTACGGTAACTTTTTTTCAGAAGCGGGTTTTTTTTGGTTAATGACATTTTTTAGAAGCCGTGCAACGCAAAAGTGGTCGCTGGACCACCAAACAATTCATCGAAAACTATTCTGGATTTATCAACAAATCCATCAAAAGCTCAAAGCTTTAATGTCAAAGATTTGACAGTGATTTCGAACGGTTGTTTCTTCCTTTTAACGGCGGTAGCTTCTAATTAAGTGTGCTATTTGATATTGTGTATGTATGTTTTGCCAATAGAGATAAAATAAAATCAGCATATGAACATATACACGATTTATAAAACAATTTTTACAAAAACATTTTACAAATAAAAATTAAAATTAACACAGGAAAATTTAAGCACAAAGTTTAGAGTCAACCTCACAGGTGCTGGAAGATGGGCATGATGAACAGGCTTCGCCGTCCTCGTAAATCTTCTCGGGAATAGTGTTTCCCCTGTAATTAATTATTTACTACCCACATTTATTATAATAATGTCTCTCACTTTTCCTGGTACTGACAGACCACTGTGACCTTGTTCATTCCGTTTTTAGGATCAACTCCACAGTTCTTGGCACCACATCCAATCTTGTTGGATGACGCCCAAGCCATTTGAGTTGCATGTCCGATTCCAGTGTCGTATGATTCTTGAGTAAGGGTTGGACCTTGCCATCCATAGTCTTGGAATTCTTTTTCCCAGTATTTCGATGCTTGGACACCCTGGAATATGGATTTGTAGTTTTTTTTCCGTTCATCTCTGCAACATACGTATTTGTCCAAATTTCCGAGATCCTCCGAGTCCCATCCCCAGTAAAGATTCTCTCCGTAGATACTCTTTGCGTGATCATCTGGACAGCCCTCAGCGAATTGTGAGCTGATGCAGCAATAGTGTCGTCCCAGACCTTGAAATCAATTTTTGCGATACCTTTCAAGTTTTTACTCACCATATTCATCATGTTCTTTGCACCTGGTTGTGTAACTCCTTTGGCAACATATTCTCCTTTGGCAATTGCGGATCGAAGATCATTGTGAGCCTTCACAATGGCTGCTTGGCCATCCGGGCTGAATGCAGCAATTCTGGATACAAAAAAAGCAAGGATTAGAAGCTTCATGTTAAGAATGTTCCAATTGTTGGATGAGTTTGGTGGTTTTGGCAGATTATTTTATATTAGTTGCTCGAGACAGAAAACAGGGATATTTTTTTGTATTTTTTTATCATTGATAACACGAATTGAAAAAATTTTTTTAGTCGTTGCTCTCACCCAAAAATAAGATTGTGTTTTGGTTTGAACTTTGAAACAGAGCGTCTAAAACCAAAAACAGTATCAATTTTTTGTTAAGCAAGAGCAACGACTAAAAACATGTTTTCAATTTCTCTTATCATTGATAAAAAATACAAAATTCTAATCTTGTTTTCTGTCTGGAGCAACTAGTATAAAATAGGCTGCCAAACCCATCAAACTCATTCAAAAGTTTTGAATTAAAAACATGAAGCTTCTAATTCTTGCTCTTCTTGTGTCCAGCATCGCTGCATTCAGTCCGGATGGTCAAGCAGCCATTGTGAAGGCTCACAATGATCTTCGATCTGCACTTGCCAAAGGAGAATATGTTGCGAAAGGAGTTACACAACCATCTGCAAAGAACATGATGAAAATGGTGAATATCATCTCAACAGATAAAACGAAAAAATGTTCTTGAGGTCTGGGACGAAACTATCGCTGAATCTGCTCAACAATTTGCCGAGGGTTGTCCAGATGATCACGCTGAGAGTCCGTACGGAGAGAATCTCTACTGGGGATGGGACTCGGAGGAACTCGGAGACTTGGACAAATATGTATGTGTAGCAGGGATGTCCGAAAAAAATACCATATTCCAGGGTGTCCAAGCGTCGCAATCCTGGGAAAGCGAATTCCAAAAGTTCGGTTTGGAAGGCACTACCCTCACTCAAGAATCTTACGACTCTGGGATCGGACATGCCACTCAAATGGCCTGGGCGTCATCCAACAAGATTGGATGTGGAGCAAAAAACTGTGGAGTTGATCCCACAAACGGAATGAACAAGGTCACAGTGGTCTGTCAGTATCAAGAAAAGTGAGAGAGACATATTTTTGAAGATGAGATTAATTAATTAATCGCTTAATTACAGGGGAAACACTATTCCCGAGAAGATTTACGAGGACGGCGAAGCCTGTTCATCATGCCCATCTTCCAGCACCTGTGAAGTAGACTCTAACCTTTGTGCCTAAATTTTTGTGTCCAATTTGAGTGTTTCTTTGTGAATATTGCTGTATAAATCGTATATTTTGATTGTTTTGATTTTGTTTGAATTTGGTTGTTTAAACAAGATTTGTTTGAATTAATTTAAAATATTTTTTACAACTATCGTAAAGCCTGTATTAGAAGGGCCGGCCCTTCTATTGGTTCAAGGTACCAACGGATTTTACCACAATTTAGCAAGATTTTCATCGAAAACCAGAGTTTCAACAAATTTCGATTAAATTGTGGAGTTCCTGGAATGTTTTCCACTCAAAACGTACGGAAATTTTCTGATTTCAAAACACATTTTGAAGGGGGTCCTTTTCCACAGAGGGCCCTTCTATTACGGGGGCCCTTCTATTACAGGGGGCCCTTTCATTTTTTCAAGCCTCTCTCGGAGGGTCCTTCTATCAAAGGGGCCCTTCTCATACAGGTTTTACGGTATGTTCTTGGAATTTCAAATAATTTCTGTGTTCAATTTCTCACATTACTCCATACTTCCCAAATCAGATAAGTCACCTTATCTTAAAAGAATCTGAGTCGGAAAATGTTTTCAAACAAAAAAAAAAGAAAAAGCAAAACTAGCCAGTTTTTCTCCCCCTTTAGCCGTCAGAAAATGCGGATTATATGGCGTTATGAGGGTACCATAGTTTTATTTTTATGCTTATTTTTATCTGTATACCTTGTGTTTTATCTGCTGATAAACTTGGTAATTGGAATGTGAGTGATTTTTTTTCTTGGGATTCCGAAATTTTAGAAAAAATCAGAAATGTGAAATTTTTCCCAAAATTAAAAGTTCTCAGGAAATTTGAAAAATGCTGAAACTTTTTGTTCGAAATTTAGAAAAAGTGTGGGGACTACAGTAATCCTCTCGTCTTGGATTGAATTACTGTGGGGCGAAAAATACTGTAGTCTCGGGTTATTGTAGGTTAGTGGAATGTTGACTTGTACAATTACAGTATACTTCAAATTTCGGAGTAGAATACTGGAGATTTGCGTTACTGTATTAGCTTCAAAAGTTACTGTAGTTTCGTATCACTGTAGCAAAAAATATTGAATTTCAGAGCACATATGATCCTTCCACACGAGCCGCCAAAAAATCGAGATTTGAAAGCATTTGTAACTTCCGCTTACTTTTACCCAACTTCTAAAAGGTACCGTAATTTTTTTTGCTTTTTTTCTAGAATTTATATATATTTTAAATTCAAAAAATCAATACTTTCAGCCTCGGCAGCAATTCTATAGCACTTGTAATGAGTATGAATTTGGGACAGTTTAAGCAGGATTATCTGGAAATTCAATCCGGAAAACCAATGGATTCCACAGAAATTGTGATTTGGGCAAAAAATGGAACACATAGTCGACTAGTTAGTACGCCGTATATTCGGTAAGACTTTTGAAACTTCGAAATTCGAAAAAAAATCATTTTTAGAGTTACCCCTCATGACAATTGTCAAATGATTACTGTATTTGCAACTGTGCAATTGATACCAAATGTGAATAATATTTTATTGATTTCCGATGATGGGTCCACAGAGGTAAACTTTTTTGAAAAATTTTTTCTCAATTCTGAAAACTTTCAGGTCCCTTTTACTTTACCGGACTATCAGAAACGGGAACTTGTGGTTTGCTGGTCGCCGTTATATGTGACTGAACAATGGCAAAATTTTATACTCGCAATGCATATTTATAAAAAGTAATTTCTAGAACAGATGGTTGCGAAGTTGTCAAAAATTCCAAAAATTGAGAAAAGTTTCGAAACTTTAATTTGAAATATCAGAATTTTTCAAAAAAATCTGAAACTCCAAAAAATCAAATTTTAAGAAATTTAAAACAATACGAAAATTTCAGATTCGGCGGATTCATACATATTTATTTGATCAGTTGCATTTCATCACTGTTCGCGCTGATGAAAAAATACGAAAGTGCGGTAAGAATTTGTTTTGCAACATATTAGAACTGTAACGTATTAGGTTGGAAGGAAAGTAGCTGTCCATTTTTTAATTCGTGAGTAACACAAAAACAAGAATTATCCAAGAGTGACAGTATGCATCGTCGTGGTCCACGACATGTTGACAACATTCAGATTACTTGAGGATACCATCCCCCTAAAAGCCAGCTGGCTGCGAGTCAAAGTATTTTTTCAGTCCACATTTTATTTCATCTACAGTGTTTAATTATTTCCCTCCATCTGACGTTGCATATTTCCTAATAACCAATAATGAAAGGGCCGAATCAGAAGTTTTGGGGGCGTAAAGAAGAACCGTCCAGCTAGAGCGGCCCAGGTCTTACTTGGTTTTCCGTGGAACATAGAATCGTGTTATTTAAGGAGAGTCAATTCAGTTCTGCACCGCTTTGTATGAACCAGGCCTGTGCGGCAACAAAATTTTTTCGGCAATTCGGCAACTCTGCAATTTGCCGAATAGGTTTCGGCAACGTTCGGCAACTCGGCAATTGCCGAAAAAAAATTTCGGCAATTTCGGCAACTTTCGGCAATTTTCGGCAACAAAATGTTTGCGTCTTTTTTTAGTAAAATCGATATGTAACTCACCTGAAAATGCTTCTATCAGGCTCAGAACTACAGAAAATGTGTTTCATAAGTTCCTTTAAAAAGTAATTACAAAAATTGGCAACTCAAGACCATATTTTTTTGCAAACTATTTCTCTTTAGCAATAGAGGGTATTCCAAAAGTTGAAAATATTTTTTCCGATTGTGAGTTTTGAAAATAGTGCGCTCAACTTGTTAGGCAACTCACGACACACGTTCCCTAGAGATTTGAGACAGATTGGATAATTTTTTGATGAGTTGTGACTCATGATATCTATTTTTCTCCTATGCTCACAAATTTGAAGCCCATTTTTAGATCCGACGCAAGTATTTTTCAAGATCATTGGGACGCATTTCCTCAAAAATTCACTTTGAGGGATGATGGTGTTCAAAATTTGATTTTTCGAACTTCGAAATAATTTTTTTGACTAAAAAAATTGTGAAAATCTTTAAATTCAAAAAAATTTCAGTTGCCGAAATTGCCGAAATTTTTTTGCCGAAATCGGCAACGGCAATTCGGCAACTTTTTCTTCGTTGCCGATTTCGGCAACGGCAAATCGGCAACGAAAATTCGGCAATTTCGGCAATTTCGGCAATCGGCAATTTGTTGCCGCACAGGCCTGGTATGAACGGCTGTCCACGTTCCTCAAACTCCAGACTTGACCCTTTCATTATTGGTTATTCGGAGATATGCAACGCCATCTGGAAGGAAAATAATTTTACACTGTAGATGAGTTGAAAACGTCACTTTAGGAAAACTTTGATTTGCGGCCAGCTGACTTTTGGAGGGATGGTATCCTCAAGTAACCTGAATGTTGTCAACATGTCGTGGACCACGAATTGAAAAATGGACAGTTACTTTCCTTCCAACCTAATATAAGAACTGAAAGAAAAATAAAAGTGTGACGTTATGTATATAACTTCAACCTTACAAAAATGTAACGTAATAGAACTGGGACGGAATAGAACAGTAACGTATTAGTGCTGGGACGTTTTTGAACTCTAACGGATTAGAACTGTATATATTTCGGAATCTAAAAATGGAAAAAGTTCAAACTTCAAAATTAAAAAAATTTCAGGGATATCTCAAAATCCAGCCATGGTACCGTGTGAATTTTCCGTTCATTCATCCGCTACACGTAGATCCTTACGTAGGAATCGAACTTCAGAATCAAGCATCTTCACATACGGATTGCCTTTTACAGTATAAGGTAAATAATTGGAAGATTGAAAAAATTTTTTTTTATTTTCAGGAATCCGCTGAATTCATCACATTTCTTGATATGGACGAGATTTTGATTCCACGCTCAGCTCCGACCTACGTAGAAGAATTCCAGAAGATTCTAAACAATCGAAAACACATTTCGCATATTGAGTTCAGCATCGAAAACTATAAAATGACGGTGGCAAGGGATAGTTTGAAATTTTCGATTCCTCAAATGTTGGCAACTTTGAAATATACATATTCGGTGAGTTGCAGAACGGCCAGTTCTATAACATCCGGTTGCAACATAATCGGGTTTAAATTCGAAAGTTTTCGAAAGTTTTCAGCCAGAAAATTCTAGAAAAATCGTGGCGATTCCTAGAAATCTAAACTTCACATGGATCTATCCAGTACCGGTGAATTCCAATGGAATGGATTCTTTGAGAACCGATGAAAATGTGATAACAAAATTAAAGACAATCAAATGGGTAATTTTATACAATTGGTCGGAAAATTCCAAAAAAAAAATGTTTTGAATTTTCAGACAAATCCAAAATTCAAGACCGATAATCTTCCACTACCCTTGTATTTGAACACAACTGAATTTTTAATACTTGGCGATCAAGTCGAGGAAATCGAGGACGATTTTCAGCAAATCACAGAACATTTCGAAACGAATTCAATTTTACCAGATCTCCCGAACCAATTATATTATTACAACAATGTGAAAACGTGTCTAGCGAAAACATATCATTCCTTCTTGAATTCTGTAATTTATGGAAGCGTTAAATGTCCCGGTCCACAAATGTGTAAATTTAAAAAGTATCGAGATGTTAAATGTGTTCATGTGAATGCAACTCACGAGTTTGTGGAAAAATTGACACCTATCACTTATTATTTTGCCAGTAACCCCTATTTTACAGCTGATATTGGGTGTAGGCCACATTGAAATTTTTTTTTAAATAAAAATGTTTTCGCTGCATTCTTTGAATTAGGAAAAATGTTTCTTAAATACAGAATATTGACCCGTTTTTGAACTGAGAACTCGAAAAACAGGTTTCTTTCAGAGAACGGCAAAGACCTGAAAAATTAAAAAGTTTTAAAAAGTTTTGTGAATGGAAAGTTTTCAATCTAATAGTAAGTCTGTTTTACACACACCAAACATTTCAGAGTGATCGGAGCCTTGACAGCCGAGCAACAGGTTTCTGAAAATGGTTGAAATGTCCAAAACTGAAAATAAGTTGTTGTATATTTTTTTGTCTGGTACTGTTACAAGGAGTCCCCACCCCAGTCATCGTTATCACTCTCGATGTCATCAAGTTCTTGTGTGGGAATTTTCTAGAATTTTCTGGCTGAAAAGATCTAGAATTTTCTGGATGAAAACATTCGAAAGTTCTTGTGTGCTTTTTGAGGTATTTTATATTCTCTTCTTTGGCATTGTTTCAATTTTTAACAAAGTTCACCTGTAGAGACTATGTCCGATTCTTGGGGCTCCAGAGGAGGCAACATGCGACATTTGCTTCTGAATTGATACTAGCGGTTAGGTGGTTCCAGAAGCATTATTGTAAAGTTTGACAGTAGCCATTTGAAAAATAAGTGGCCGAACGGAAATGACGAGTATACAAATAATAACACAGAAAGATGTTTCGTATGAAAACTTAATAACCTCAATAGTGATAAGAATGTTCGGCTCCTAGTCATGTTTAGAATATTTTGAGTATTTAATCAGTTATCGCAAAAATTGACGAACTGACGTACTACATAACAACAACAAAAGAATTTCTGATTCCTGGGTCTCTTATGAGTTTTCTGATGACTCTCTAGTCAGACCGGAAAACATAACAAGGGCAAGAAGTCGATGTGCCATGTAACATGTCCTTTTGAATAAAAAAGTTAAAACCTTTAATTTAAAAAGACGCTCTCCGGACGAGACGCTCTAGAGACGCTCTAGAGTCAACATTTCATTTTGAATCATGAAATTCGTTCTTTGTATTCTCGTCCTCCTCGGATGGGCCAGTGCTGAATTCAGTGACGCTGGTCGAGAAAAAATAGTCAAAGCTCACAACGAATTAAGATCTGCTGTTGCCAAAGGAGGCTATCGTTATAACGGATTTGTTAAACCGCCAATGCCACAAGCAGCCAACATGCGCAAGCTGGTGAGGTTATTTTAATAAAATGCTTATGAATGAAATGTTTCGTTTAGAAATGGAATGAGATTCTTGCCAAGAATGCACAAAAGACCGCCGATGGCTGTCCAATGGAACCATTCATTGCACCAAACTTTGGACAGAACGTCTACGTGCCGTACTCCAGTAAGCCCTTTAAAAATCCCGATGGAATGGTGAGTCTCAAATGACTTTTGATAGTCTTCAGAGTTTCGTTTCTTAAGGGAGCTAATGCAGTGGCCCAATGGGTGGATGACCTTTCGCTCTACACATGGAAGTCCCTTAAGATTAATGAGAATCCCGCTAAACTCAGACGATTTAGTCAGATGATTCGTGATGAGACTAGTTTAGTTGGGTGTGGACTGAAAGACTGTGGAAAAACAAACGGTTTCTACAAGTACGTTGTGGTGTGCAATTATGATCCACCGTGAGTGACTCTGATTCGAAATGTTCCAAATCACAAAAGATAATTTCAGAATGAGCAGCACGGATTCTGTTGTTTATATGGATGGACCCGCCTGCTCTAACTGCTCGGTCGGACTCACATGTGAGAGTTCTTCCGGATTGTGCTACCTATATTAAGTATATGTTTGAATTGCAGAATAAATTTTCAATACTCTGCAAAAAATGATAGTCTCCAGGCATGTAAAAGAGAGCCTCCTCTTGTTACGGTATTCAGAAACTCAGGAATTCGAAGAATGCGACTTAAAAAGTTTTATTTTCGAATAATTAATTTCATTGGGGCTTACAACCAATGTCGGCTTTTAAAAATTTTCTGTAATTTGCTGAAAATTTTCCTCAATTTTCCTTAACTTGATTGTCAAGAATTCGAAATTCAATTAACTTGGCCCATGGGAAAACGCAGTTACAGTCACAGTTGAAATCCTCTTCTTGCCACCAGATTTCAATTTCAACATGATAAACACGTCATCTCGAATTGATCTGAACATTTTTCAGATTTGAATTTTCATGACTATTGAAAAACTAACTTGTTAAAAATCATCATCATTATTGGATTAACATACGAGTCAAAAAACCAGAGCCCATTCATAATCGCTTGGTTTCTTGTTTTAGTCATATCGATGAAGGACATCATTGGAATTAAAATTGGGTACCACATAATTACCACAAAAGAAGTGTAGATTATTATAAAAGTGAATTGGAGTAAAATCGCCAATTCGTTTTTTCTTGATTTGGCGGAAGTTTGAATACTTTGGGTCTAGAAAAACTGATCTTTCAAATTTTGAATATCAGAATTTCAGAATCTTAGAATCTCAGAATCTCAGAACCTCAGAATCTCAGAATCTCAGAATCTCAGAATCTCAGAATCTCAGAATCTCAGAATCTCAGAATCTCAGAATCTCAGAATCTCAGAATCTCAGAATCTCAGAATCTCAGAATCTCAGAATCTCAGAATCTCAGAATCTCAGAATCTCAGAATCTCAGAATCTCAGAATCTCAGAATCTCAGAATCTCAGAATCTCAGAATCTCAGAATCTCAGAATCTCAGAATCTCAGAATCTCAGAATCTCAGAATCTCAGAATCTCAGAATCTCAGAATCTCAGAATCTCAGAATCACAACGAAAACGCCAGCTTCGGGAAAAGCGCAAAAAATTGTGGAAGACGCCTTTAAGGGTCTACCACGGAACGCCGTGCTCTTTTACCGAAATAGAGGGACAACACTGCATACGACGGATTTTTGATATACTTTTTTTTTGCTTCAAAATGTTTTTTGATTTTTTCTAAGATTCTATATATTCCTAGTTAGTATTATTCTTTTTTGGTTGAAAATGTAAGTTCAGGTTTTTTTTAACTCAGAAATCTCCAAATTTCAAACATTTGGAAATTCGAATGAAATCCTGGAATTGAGAAATATAAATATAGTTTTTTTTCTATATGTTTTCAATTTGAATAACGAGAAAACTTTTTTTCATGTTCTTCATCCTTTAAAGATTCATGAAGACAACATTTGTATTTCAGAGTATTCCTACAATTCCGTCGTCAGGCGCTATGTGTCATTTTCAAGAAGTCAGAAAAATATGCATTTCTTCAAAATGACCAAATCAGACATCCCTGCATACGACGCGGCAGAAGCATTCAAAAAATAAAAATTTGTCAATAAACTTTATAACTCGAATTTTTGTCGGAATTTGATATAAACAGAAAGAAAGAAAAGTTACAGACTTTTCAAAATTTCAAAATTTTCGATTTTCCGAGTTCTGTAATTTCTGAATGTCTGAATTTTTTGACTTTCTGAATCTCTGAATTTCTGAATTTTGTATTTTCTGAATTTTCCGATCCTTGAATTTTTGAATTTCAGAATTTCCGACTTTCTGAAATTCTGAAATTCTTGAATTGTGAATTTCTGAATTTCTAAAAATTTATTCAATATAAGACAGTTCAGTTTTCTTGATTTCGAATTGAAAAGAAACAAATAATTAGAAAAATCCAGTATTTAGCTTCTCCTGCTCCTTGACTCTTCGTTTTCAGCTGTTCTGAAAATTTGGAAACATTTAAAAAATTCGAAAAAATTCAAAAATTTTAACTTACCACAAGAATTATCATCGAAAATTGGAGCCATTTCGCTCAATTTCAGAGAATTTCTCAATTGAAAACAAATTTCAGAACTTCCAGATATTGTGGAATTATTCTTTTTGAAAACCATGGATTCTGTAGTTTCAGATCGGATTCTCTGGAATTTTTTTTTGAAAATTTGAAAATTTAAAATGAAGAAAAATTACTTTCAAACTTGGAAATGTGACATTCACTAGATTTGGGTTGTCCTGAATAATAATTGCAGGTTTGTCTGAAAATTTCAGATTTTCAGGTTTCCAGACAAAACTCTTACGATCCATTTGTGCCACAAATTTCAGATTTTTTAGGAAATTCAAATTTTTGAAATTCGTTTCTTTTATATTCAAACTTCCATAAATAATTTCCAAAAATTTCAAATGATTCAAATCCGAATATTTGGAAATTGTCAAATCTCCGAAAATCGCTGTACATTCTTCTTCGGGGTTTTTACACAGAGAATCAGTGAATTCTGTTTTGCAGTATTTTCCGAAAATATGGTCGATATCAGAATTATCGATTTTCAGCAATATTTCCATTTCTTGAATTGTTATGCAGAATTCTGGTGACTCGGAAGAAATGTAAATTTCGAATTTTGTGGAATTTGGGTTGATAGATGTTAAATTCTGAAAAAAAATAGGAATTCAGAAATCAAAAATTTAGAAGTTCTGAAATCAATTCTGGAATTCGAAAAACTCAGAATTTTTTAAAAATTTTGAGATTCTCACCTGAAGATTTGGGATATTCAATTTCTTCATTTTTGGATTTGAGATTTGTAATCCAGCACAAGAAATCGATTTCAGACTTGTCAAACCGATTTCTATCATTTTGGAATTTCCAAAAATCATGATTTCAGAATCATCTGAAAAAAATTTCGTCTGAAATTCACAAAAAATGTGAACTCACAACATTCGATAAATTCCAAATTTTCCAAAAACTTCAAATTCGAAAGTTTGGAATTCAAAATTTTCAAACCTCCAACTATTCTCTTCACATGTTTGAATGCCAAATTTAATTGATCGGATTCTGGTAGATCAAAAAATTCATTGATCTCCAAATTTGCACATAAAATTTGGCAAATTTTGATGGAATCCAAAATTCGAGCTGTGAGATTTTGAGTTGGAAACATGCACTGGGTTACTGTAACTTTCAAAAAGTTAAAATTTGAAAAAGAACTGAAAATTACAGCAATTTTTCTCCAGGAAAATGTTTTGGAGGTCTGGATCCAGTTGACTTTCGGAGAATTTCATAAAATCAATTAATAAAAGAATTGGGATAAATTTATATCGCATTTTTGAAATTTTGTGAAGAAAAAATTTTAAAATTTGTCATTTTTTGGAAACAAGTTAAATTATAGCATACATTTTTTCAGAAATTATAGATTTTGAAAATTCCAAAAGTTTTATATCACATCATATTTTTTATTCAAATCATGTGAGAAGTTTGAATGTAGTTTAGTGCAGAACATGCTGATAATTACAGTAAGAAATGCAAAAGAACAATTAAAATCACAAAATTTCCAAATTTTGAACAGATTGAGACATTTTTTCTTTCATATTCCTCTGCATTCCATTTGATTCTGTCTGAAATAGAAAAAAAATCGGAAATTCAGAATTTCAGTCACTCGGAAATTCAAAAATTCAAAAATTCCTAAACTCAGAAATTCGGAATTTTAGAAGTTCAAAAATTTAGAAACTCAGAAACACTAACATTAAGAAACGTAGAAACTCAGAATTTCTTAGTCAGAAATTCGGAAATCGGAAAATCAGAAATTCAGAATTTTGAAAATTCAGAAAGTTTGATTAAAAAAACTTGAAAACTCACCGCATTCATTTCCATCAATCAATAATTCATCAAATTGCCATTTTAACGATTTTTTGAATTTATTACAAAATTTCGGTTTTGTTGAAATCAATTCACTATTATTGCTAAAAATCACTTTCTCCTTTATGCCAACTCTCTGTAAAACATTTTTGTTTTTTGAATTTATCTTCTTTTTCACAAAAAAAACCTCGAGTTTTGGAAATTGAATATCTTTGAGATTAAAATTGTTCTCTATTAAAATTGGCGGTTGCGATTTATCCAAGCTGGCCACAAACTTCAAATTTTCGAAAAATTCAAAATTTTCCAATTTTGTTCCGTTAATTATCAAATTTCCCAAAATTACTTCAATATTCTTTAATTTGGACAATTCCACAAATTCTGGTCCAATTTCTAAATCTCCCAAAAACGTTTTACATTGGTCTTCTGGAATTTGACATATTTCAGAATCCAATTCTGGCGGTTGACAATATTTTCCTTCAAATAACTCCAATTCCAATTTTCGATTGTTCATAAAAAATTCCATTTCTTTAGAATTCGTGCAAAATTCTGGATCCAAGTCGAATGCAAAAAATTTAAGATTCTTGTTGGTATATACATTTTTAGGGTATTTTATTGTCTGGAAACTGATTGGTTAAGATTTTTGTTTTCGAAGTTTTAGAAACTTTTAGTTTTGGGAAATCCAAAAATTTCATTTTTGAATTATTCCAAATACTAATCTCCATACAAGCAATCGAGCTTAAGTTCTTTAGGCCACCCAAGTCGTGGATTTTGGTATTTTCATCACATTGAAAATCTCGGAATTCCTCTGAAAACATTTTGCTTTAACAGTTTTTTTCTAAATTTTTACCGCATTCAATGGTTTCCAAGTTTTCCAAAAAATTGAGATTTGTGAAATTGGTTCCAACTATTTTTAGTCCACCCCATAAGTTTTTCATATTTTTGAATAATTCCGATAATTGTTTTTCCGATAAATCACAATCTTCCAAAATTCTCAATTCACCACAAACGGTTTTACAAGATTTCGGAAATAAATCCGAATTGTTAGATGAAAGATTTTTAAAATTGAAAATGCAGTTTTTGTCTGAAAATTCAATTTTTTAAAAGTTTCCATATCCAAAATAAATTACCGCATTTCACTTTTTTGAAATATGGATCCAGACTTCTTTCGGATTGTGGAATATACATAGGACAAGAGATATATTTGAAAAATAAAAAATAAAATAAAATATTCATTTTTACGAAAAAAGTTATGTCTAAAACTCGAATTTCATGAAAAGGGAGAAATTTTAGATTCGAAAAATGTTTGGGAAATTAGTGGTTTCGGAAAATCAAATGACAAATTTTATTAAAACATTTTTTTTTGTCAAAATCCTATTGTCATAGGAAAAATCGGAAATTCAGAAATCCGGAGTTTCAAGATTTCAGGAATTCGAAATTTGGATCAGAAATTTGGAGATGGAGATGCGAAAATTCAGAATGTTAGAAATTCAGAAATCTAGAAATCCAGAAATTCAGAAATTCAAAAATTCAGAAATTCAGAAATTCAGAAATTAAAAAATTCAGAAATTCAGTAACTCAGAAATTCAGAAAGTGCAAAATCATAAATCCCAGAATCCAAAAATTGACCAAATTTTTAGAATGAAAATTATTTGGCAAAATGAGTCCTTTGTTTTGATTTTCAGCATTCATTTCTAGATAATCCAAATTTTCTGAAATTTCAAAAAATTCAATTTTTCAAAAAAAAGTCAATTATACCACAAGTCCAATAATACTTATCAATAATAATTCCAAGACCATAACAAAACTTGGAATTTGGCAATATTCCAGAATTATTAGAATTGAAAACAATCAGATCCATTTGTATTGGTTCATAAATACCTTCTCTGTGGATTTTCTGAAAACTTTCGATTAGAAGTTCAAAATTTCAAAAAAACTAAACCTCCAAACTGAAAAAGGTAACATTTGAAGTGAAAATATTGTTGTCAAAAATTATAGCAGGTTTATTGGCTGAAAAAATCAAACCTTCCAAATTAAGATTTGAGAGAAACTCAACGTTTCAAAACTGCAATATATTTCAAATTCTCCAGCAAGTTTGCATCTTCCAAACGCGCTCCATTGATAGTCAGTGTTCCGAAAATTATTTCCACAGAATTCAAACGCTTCATATCAAAAATTGGTCCGACGTTGACATCTCCAAATATTTGGACACATCCTGCAGTTGGATTTTGGCAAATTTTTGAGTTGTCGAAGTTAGGTGGACAGATATTTCCATAAACATGATTTGTTTTCAATCCTTGACTCCTCATAAAATTATAAATGGTATCGCTGCTGACGCAGAATTCAGGCAGCTGTCCCAGAAAAAAAATATCGAACTTTTCGATATTTCCGGAGACATGCGTGATGTTCTAAAAAATTGAAAAAATCAGAAATTCAGAGATAAAGAACTTCGGAAATTCAGAAATTCGGAAATTCGAAAATTCAGAAACTCGCAAGTTCAGAAATTCAGAATTTCAGAAACTCGGGATTTCAGATATTCAGACATTCAGACATTTAGAAACTCGACAATTTGGAGTTTCAGAAGTTCAGAAAAATTCAGAAATTCAAAAAATTAAACCTTCAAATTTGGGAAATGAATTCTTTTGAGCCGATCATGCAACGCGATTTCCCAACTTGGACCATTGATTGTTGTCAGACTTGGTAATTCGATTTCCGTCAAATGATCAGTAATTTTGAATTGAATTTGATAATCTGAAAATTAGATTCTCTTAGATTCTTAGTTTAAAAACAAACATGTATCAATAGTTTCCAAATTTGATAAAAAATACATGTTCTTGAAATTTTCATTAACACCAACTGCCAAACTTCCAATCAAATGCTTCATATTTTTCAGTAAATCAAATAATTGATCCATCGATAAATCGATATTTTGATCTATTCTCAAATCTGAGCAGATTGTTGAACAATCTCTTGGAAAATGAAGAGCATAAGTGGCATTCAAATTAAGATATGGATAGATACATTTTTTGTCTGAAAAAATTTTTTTTATTTAAAAATTCTATTTAGAATGACAAAATTTTGAAAAAAATACCGCAATTTTTCTTTTTGAAAAATTCTAAATATGAATCTTCCAACTCGGATTTTGGCTTTTGCGCAAAACTTTTAATATGAGCAATCACATATAATAGAAATAAAAAATTCATGAATAAGAATTGAAAAAGTGAAAGTTTAGGAGATTTTCAGATTTTTTCAAAAAATCAAAGTCGCAAGTGGACAAGCCTAACTTCGAATAACATGTAATTTTTGGGAAATCTGCAATAATTATAGATAAGAATCAAATGATTTTTAAGAAAATAAAGATGACGCATTTCTGAATTCGTGATTTTTTGAACTTCTGAGTGTTTGAAAAATTTTTGTATTCTTCTTATGAAAAATAATTGGCATTTTGGAATTAAGGCTTCCATTTCAGTTAGTCGAAAATCGTCGACCGCCGACCGACCACCGACCGATTTCGGGCCTTTGCGCATCAAATCAATGCCTACTGCTTTGCATACGAAGCGCTTTATCTTACGACAAACGAGAGATTTAGTGAGTAGTTTCGTAAAATGCAATGCTGTGTATGCAAACAAGTTCACGCGCAAATGCACGAAAACGGTCGGCGCGCCGACCGATCGGTCAAGTGCCGTCCGTTCGGTCAGCTCGGTCGGTGGTCGGTCGATCGGCGAAATTTCCCCACCGAATGGAAGCCTTATTTGAATTTCTGAATTTCTGAATTTCTGAATTTCTGAATTTCTGAATTTCTGAATTTCTGAATTTCTGAATTTCTGAATTTCTGAATTTCTGAATTTCTGAATTTCTGAATTTCTGAATTTCTGAATTTCTGAATTTCTGAATTTCTGAATTTCTGAATTTCTGAATTTCTGAATTTCTGAATTTCTGAATTTCTGAATTTCTGAATTTCTGAATTTCTGAATTTCTGGATTTCTGAATCTCTGAAGTTCTGAATTTCTGCATGTCTGTATTTCTGCATTTCTGAATATCTGAATTTCTGAACTTCTGAACTTCTGCATTTCTGAATTTCTGAATCTTCTG